AAGAAGAAAAGAACAGTAGGCAAAACTCTTGTACGCGGTTAGTACGTCATCACAAGCGTGTGAGGTAAGTGTGAAGCAAAAGGGAACTACTTTCGCCGTGCGTTGCTTTCTCTTCAATAGTGTTGAGCGCGTGCCACGTGCGTGTCTTTGTAGCAATACAGACTCAAGACATGGGTACAATTTCCACGGCCATCGCACCTTGCAATTAGCGTCCCTGGTTGAAATGACATCTTATGTGGCCCTTGCGTCTCGCAAGGCAGACTTTCCTTTACCCCTACGATCTCCACGGATTCTACTGCACGCAAAATTCGCAAGGGACTCACGATCCTAAAATTCGTGCGTCTGGTTGTGACCGAGGCTATACTGATATACGCATTGTAGCTCTTTAATTAGATTAAATGTCTGGCACACACCCTTGAGTAACTAGGGGGCAATTCACTGTCGTTATTTACCCCCTATTAGGCGTGTCAGACATATACGCCACTCGTACTGAATGCAAGTTGGCGAGAGCCCCCCCTCCCAGAGTTCGATCGATCTAGCTAGTACGATGCGTTTATGGAACCGCTCCCTTACCCGTCTATGAGTGATCCATGCCGAACTCTGAATCCTGTGATCTTTCCGGCCCTAGCGATAGCAGCGTCATTGTATTGAGAGTCTCCCTCTGTCACTTCGCCATAAGGACCGAATATAACGTCACATGGCGCTGGCACTTATAATATAATATAATATAATATAATATAATATAATATAATATAATATAATATAATATAATATAATATAATATAATATAATATAAAGTAGTGTAAGGTAACTAAACGCCATGCAATACAATACAAAAACATTACGTTAGTATTGTTTTGTCATATTATATACTTTTTTCCTACGTGTGCGAGGCAGATTGAAGAAAATACCTAAATTCACCCAATCCTTTTCATCAGTATCCGCGGTAGTATTCCCAGCACTGGCGTTAACATATATCTCACAGGTTTTACTGACGCTGTGGTAGTTAGCTCCAGAACATATAACCTTCCCTCTGCAGAGATCGGCACACTCGACAACACTGGACTCATGCTGAGTGTCAACCACGGTCCCTGCTTCCCGCAGTCCGCTTGTCAAATTGAACCGTCCTTCTCTGACAGTGACACTAACTGATGACAAAATGAAAAGAAAAGTCGCGCCTAGCGGTTTTAGTGCCCAACAACAAGCCATACTGTCAAGGAGTTCAAATGTGGCATACACCGCGTAGCTCGTGTTCTCTACAAGAAGTGGACAATCGAACGCGCATTTACTGGGTAGCTATGAAGAATTCACCGAATTGAGGTTTAGATGTCTTAAGACGTCACTAAACAAATAGTCCCCTACCTNATCCTACGGTTGCCGAATTTATTGTGGATATTTTTTAACTGTTTATCTTCATGGCACCGTGAAAATTGTCTGGCCACTGGAGCTTTTCACACAATGAAACGATAGACCAGTGTAGGTAAGCGACTAAAATATCTTAGCCTCAGAATGGGAAATGTTTCTAACCCAACAAATGTACCAATATCAATAGATTTCACACTTCACGAATACGACCCTTTGAAAGACACCTGCAATTAACGTATATTATTGCTAGAATATGGTACAAAATGAAAAGCGTTTGAATTGTAAAGGCTCTATAGTGTAGTAACAGGCGAACTGATCGATTTAATTTACGTAATATCTGGACCATTGCTTCGATATACTTCCGGACACCGACACGGCCAGCCGGATAAGGATACGAATACCGGATATGGACAAGTAGACATACACAAGGAAATTATCGAATAAATGTCTTCGACAATCTAAAGGATCAATAATAGCCTTTTGCGCACTCTGGCCGTAATGGCCGCCATTTAAATCATACGATTTCCTTGGACCAAAAGTGCTTTTTAATGATAGCTTGGTTAATACTGATCATGTAGTAGGATAATATTGGGATAAAAAGCTCTTGACAATACAACTTCAATTTTTCAATCGTGTTTTTAGTCGAATTGCCCACAACCTTTGAAAAATTTAGAAAACATAAGAATTAATCCAAAAAACCAAACTTTATATAAACCAAAGTCGTGTCGTGTCGGAAGTGTACAGCGAGGAATATTAAATAGTTACGGTAAGCAAATTGGTTTCTCAAGTCAGAGAATATGCTTTTTATTTCGAGTTGCTGAAATGATAAAGATGTAAACTATGAGAAAATGGAGCTTATCAGGTGTTCAAAATTCGGAAACAATTATGGTACCCTACAAGACAGTACATGTATTTGTCTGGACCATCTATTGACAGCTACGGCCAGCGCCGCACTTCTTATAATGCGGATATTTTCTCTATCAGATAACAAAGAATAACCGTCAAAGAGACAAATCAGTGAATATCTAGCGGAAAATCAATCTGTAGAAGGTAACGGCCACGCACATGTACGCACTACCACGCACATGTACGCACAACCATGCACATGTACGCACTACCATGCACATGTACGCACTACCACGCACATGTACGCACTACCACGCACATGTACGCACTGCCATGCACATGTACGCACTACCATGCACATGTACGCACAACCATGCACATGTACGCACAACCATGCACATGTATGCACAGTCATGCACATATGCACACAGCCAGAGACAGACCTGAATTGATCTCGTCCTAATGCTGTTAAAACAACTATGTCAGCATACATGCGCGTGACAAACCAAATTAATTGTCAGGCACGTTGCAAATTTATGCATCCGTGAAATTATAACGATTTCAGATAATCTGATCAACGCACAGACACCGGACGCCAGTACACGAGATTTTCAGGCGAACTTAGTATTTCACTGGTTGCAATGTTTTCATTATTAAACAAGGGGGGGGGGGGTGTTCATATCGTTTTTGAAAAGAGTGAGCAGGGGGGTCGGATGGCACCAGTACGTCTATTGCTGCCGTCTGTTCATTTGATACATGTAAAAACACTGGTGTCAGGGATATAATGTAGTGACTTAAATCTTCATTATTATATTTGTTCTTATATATGTAATATGAATTGACAAAAAACAGATCGACAAAAAGAAAAGAGAGAGTGTGAGAGAAAGAGCGAGAGGAAGAAGAAAAATAATCTTCTTACATAGTACTATACACGACTTAAAAGGCCATATTTATAACATATATATATATATATATATAATATCCTATATTTATAACAGTATTCTTTGAAGCATCCATCTGAAACAGCAGCACAACAGACCAGAATACATGCCCTAGTTATAGTATACTGTTGGCTCCAGGGCCCTGTATCTCTGAAAGCTTCGCTATGTTGCGCACTATGTTGCGCACGTGCGCAAGTGTCTCGTTAACATGGCCCCGTATCTCGAAATAGAATCGGTTATGGAATCGAGACACGCGGATCAAATGTGGTCGATCCATTTGAGTGCTTGTTGCGTATTCCCCGCGGGGAATCCCAAGTGTCTAATAGGAAACTCAGCGGCTATCTTTTTAGCAGGTGGCCATATTTGATCCGCGGATCTGTTAGTCCGCTGTTCTGAGCGCGCCCTATGCTAGTGAATATGATGTACGACACGAGTCTGGTATTGCCACCCTTTGACGCTCTATTTCACAGCAATGCCACCTCGGGGCATGACAAGCAAAAAATGGGAACACGTGCTGTGCATGGCATATATGTTTTTAAGGTCATGATGGCATATATTAAGAATGCAGCGAAATTATTGCCTTGACATTAACAGCCGCGCCAACTCGAGTGGAACTCAGTGTTAAAAAAATAAAAAAAAGAAAAGAAGAGAAGTCAAAAGATCGTTGGTTCAATGTGGCGGGGTTTATATATGTTTTTAAGGTCAAGATGGCGTATATAAAGAATGCAGCGAAATTCTTGCCTTGACGTTACCAACCACGCCAACTCGAGTGGAACTCAGTGTTAAAAAAAAAGAAAAGAAAAAACGAAGAAGAGAAGTCAAAAGATAGTTGGTTCAATGTGGAGGGGTTTATTTTCATTCCTCTGTGGAAAAAAGACCCCACAAGACCGCACATTTTTCATAAGCGCAGATGAATTCTTTAATTATAGCATCCTTAAATAAGTTATTGAAGCATCACAATTTAGTGAATCACATGCTTAAAAAGATTATTTATTTACGTCGGTTAAAATTTCGCCTACAAGTGCCCTTTATATAAACAAGCAGGTAGAGAAACACGTAACGCCAAAACGTTGAACTAAATTACTTCCAGTCACTTGCGATAAATCACGTAATTGCGTGTCTTGAATGAGCATCATACAACATCAACCGAAGTCTTGCGAAATAGCGAAATTGCGAAATCAAGCGAGATTTTAGGAAATTTGGGGTAGAGTAGAGTAAAATATGACAGCAGGCTAAAAGGACTGAGTGCTGTGCATCAACATTTGGCAGAATCTATCCGTGAATAATTTCTGAGCGCATTCTCGCTCTATTCTTGTCTCGAAAGACGTCACTCACTGCCGTCGTTCTCTTTTTAGGCTGTCTAAATCTATATGGTCTGGTCGGAAAATACAAACGTAATTAATAAGAAATGAGCATGCTACATGTATTTTATTTTTGCAGTGTAAAACATTGGAAGTTTTATGAACCCCAAATGTCTCAATGTAATTCTCTGGGGCCCGTTAACTTCATATCTCTTGCCAATATCTGCCCTGATCTGAACATTTGGACTGGAACTCTATTCTTATCAATATGGTGAGTTGACCAGCCAATAGGAGTAGCCAAATTGACTACTACTCTCTCGTGACTTTGTCTGTTAGTATCGTAGGGAAGCTAGAAGGGCGTGAGTGAGTACTGGTACAAAACCAAGGCAAGCCCTTCAAAGACGCCAAGGTCAAATTAGCTTAATTATCGACATTGTAAGCCTTCTTATTGGTTAAAAGGTATAAATTGTTCCGAGAGGACAAAGACTTATGATTTTTACTGACGACCTACGAATATTTGGCGGCACATTTAATGTAGTAATTAACAGCCTTCAATATTTATAAATTTATACTTTTTAAAAAAAATTCTACAAACAGAAATTACACTCAGCGAAAATAGAAATGGTTTGAAACAATATCGAGGGACACCTTTATAGACGATCAAGAATGACATGCATTACAAATGCACAAAATTGGCACCCTTTCAATATATCAGCCTCGTTCTGATCATTGGCACCTGGTCTAGGATTGGCCTCGTTTTTAAGGACGTACGTTTAATGCAGGCAGCTTTATTGTTGAAGCAGATCAACAGAGTAGATCTATAAGTCGACGTGACCTAGACGCAGTTCTATCGATAATCGTGCCAAAATGGATGGTGCCAGTAGCAGCACTGATGATTGTGAAGCCAAGGCAACCATGATGAAGAAGGACAGTGACTGTGCAAAGAAGCAGGCTCACCAAGACGACATTTTCGATCAATTGGGGAGTTTTGGCTGCTTTCAGCACCGTGTTTTGCCACTCTTTTGTCTGTGCAATACGTTCGCTGCTCTGCAGTATATGGCCATCACGTTTATGGAGTACACACCTGCCCATAGGTAAGTTGACGCACATGCACTGGGAAAGGTATATGTGGCCTATACATACAATTTTACACATAGAAACGTGTGGGTGGACCCTCGATTCGGAGAGCTTTGTATGTGCCACGTTTTAGGTCTCTTATGGCTTGGTAGTCCAATTATGTGTTTATTCTGTATTTTATACGCAGATGAAACTGTACACTCTAACAGATTTAGTTTTTGCTTTTTCTTCACAGCAGAAAATCGTGTCATGAATTAGCTAGAGACATATCTGTGAATATCCAGTGAAAAATCAACCTGCGACCCTGGTAGAGAGTAATGCAACCGGGTGTATCAACATCGATCTATTAATTCATTCTGTTCCCTTTAAAGGATGGCCAATATTTCTGACATATCTTCTAAACACGAGTCTTAGAGTGGCAATGACAGACAGGACAACACTCAGTACTGGCGATCTTTAATTTTGATCTCGATGCCTCTGCTTTTTCACGTCTTCATTCCTTTGAGTTGAGTAATGATAGGGCGTCGCCGGCCGTGTTTTATACTGGCCTCTTTTATACTGGCAGTGATAATACCTGCAGCATCGGTGCTACATTGATAACATTCCGGGGTTTCTTTTAACTTACATGTGTAGAGTTTGCGAAGACAACCTATTTCTTTGCCCTTGGAAATTCGGTAAGCACAAGCCAACGAATTTAAGAGCCCAAACGCACATATTAGCACGTAATGCAGATACTCAATGTATGCTTAACTTACTTTTCTATGGTTATATTATGGTTGTATTGTCATAAACCTCGTAGGTTAGTAACGTTTATGTTTACACGCACCGGTGACATATAATTCGCTTTATTTTAAATCAGAAAAGTCCTGTTATGCTATGAAAATAGGACTTTGTTAACACATCTTTGTGTAACAGAGCATACAGAGATTATACTTGTACTTGATGCTCGCGCACAGCAATGGCCTACTGTAGGAATGGGGCATGCACAGTGTATGCACTGTGAATTGAGTTGAATTCGTTGATCTTCAGCCTTAAAAACTCGTTGCAGGTCACTGCGTCACGCTGCGTAGGTGAGACGCGTGATGTTCACATGTCATGGAAGTTTCTTTCCACATACGCGTCTCCACAAAGAAAATCTTCACACACACACACACACACACACACACACAGACAGACAGAGTAAACATATTCACAAAGCAAAATTCCCTAACTCACGACTATCAGTTTACAACATTTTCCTCTCATTTTCAAGTGGCACCATGTTTCGTTCCCTTCTCTTTACCGCATAATTATTAAGCACCAACAAAGTGATACCTAACACTAACATTTACCTGCTATGGTAGTGCTGGTTAATTTGTGGTTTATATGGTTAATATAGGTGTTAGTGCTAAAAGATCTGCTGGTAGTGTAAGTAAACGCCTAATCTGTTTTAAAAGCCTGAAGCAGATAAATAAATTCTGCACACGCAATATTTCAATATTTTACAGCCGTCTCACCTTTCAACTTAAAACCTGTATTCTCTAGGACACAGAAATAAAGGCTTACTTTTGCAAATATTTGAGGTGGACAATGCTCATTAGTTTTAAAAGATTTGCTTCATAAAATTTGCTCCGATGTAACAGGAATGGAAGTCCAGGCTTCCATATGATTAGTACAGATTAGGGTTAGTTGGAGTATTGGGGTTAGAATATGGGACAAATGTCACCTTTAAAAAGTCATGGGAGGCCAACTACAGTTTCTAGCAATCGCCATTCCTAATACCACCGCGTAGACGCCAATTCAAGGAGACGAGTTAAGCCTAGGTCCCAACTACGTTTTGGACGCACGGTTTTTAGGTTTCTTGCGTCCGGCTAGGATGTAGCTAGATCGCAGGGAAGAAATCAATAAAATTGGTGAAAAGTGTCTACGTGCTGTTTGCGTCCTCCAAAAGTCGCACGATGAACGTGCTCCTCAAGCACAAACTCCCACGTTTTTACCAATTTTTTTGCTGTAGACCACTTGTAGCAGCCCGTACGATCGGTAGGGACCTAGGCTTTATGCGGCGCCTGCTGTGTTATCGCACGGGTTTCCAGCTGCACAGGTTACTCCTATCTAATCTCCTGTCTCACCTAAAACACACTGAGTGTTTGTTGATAAACAAATCAAGAATTTTTCCATCACACTCTCACTAGTACTAAACTGAGCATAGTTTTATGTGCGACTGAGGCGGCTGGCAGGCGAAGTCATTTTCGACATGGTTCTAAGTTTCAGCAATTGCATAAACGATAAGTCACAAGTATTTGTTAATAATATAAATGGGCGTGTCCTTGAAAGTAAATGCCTGTTACATATGTAACCATGGTAACAGTCTAAACATAACTTAACATGGCCTTAATCCATAGTAACCGGATAGATGTATGTATTTAATTTATTCTGAATAGTTATTAGAGTCACAGATATAAAGAACAACAACATTTGTAACATAGCAGTATTTATGTCAGAGAAGATTTGGTATACAATTTTAAAACCTTAGATCTATACAATTTGGGAGCGATGAAAACTCTTCTCCAGCTTTGAAGATGTTGTAAAGATGGCTTTATTTACATCAGACAACTAAAATAAACAGGAGAAAAAGAAGTTTAAAGACAAAAATGGACATTTTAGATGATTTTTAACGAGGCTAGTCAATGCCTGGAAGAGTCGGTACCGGGGATATATCTCGGGAGCCGTCTCACAAACTTCGCGGCAGTTCTCGTCCTTCCCTAAATCAGATAGAATCACAAAATCAAAGCAGACGCAGTCAAGATGAATGAATGAATGAAGAATGGGAGGGATAAATATATGAACAAATAACGCCAGACTAGTACATGTAGTACATAAGTTTACCCAAGAAGCTGTGGTTGATCTAAATTCCAAGTTTATACATACGGGCCCCGTACTGAGCTGTCGAGGTACCCCTCCCCCTCCCCCCCCCCGCCCCCCCCCCCCCCAATCGAGACAAAACCAATCAGTATTTCCATCCGTGTGCCTTTAAGTATCATGAAGCATTTGCCTATATATGCCTACTGTTTTATATTTAAGAAATGAAGGCATTAAGCTGAATTGGCTCTTATGTCTAGCAGGCCTACCGAAGCTATTTTGGGGTAATTAACTATCGTTAATCAGTTTCAGTAACCGTGCTAGACATATAAGCCACTTAAGCTGAATGCAATTTATCGAGAATCCCCTCGGAGATGAGTCGTTCCTGCTAGGTCGATCTAGTTCTGGGAATGGGGTCTTAGACAAAAGGAGGCGATTTTAAAGCTCGATATTTACACAACTAACTTCTAATGTGTACATTGTGATGAGTAAATAATCTATACATTTTTCTGAAAGATTTAAACCCTTAAAGTCATTCTGTTAGTGTGCCGCATCTGTTTTAATGGCCTGGCACTTAAAGTGGTGACTATACATGTAGAGACTAGAAATATCTATTAATCATCTATTAATCACTTCTTTCAGTGAAGTGTATCTACGAACATGATGGAGAGATTAATTACTTATGTAATATGTATTGACTCCAATATATGTAGGAGAGAGACCTTATACTTCTGTAAATATTTTGACCGTAATATATATAAGACACAGGCCGGGTCCAAATCTAGTTCAGTTACTAACTGGACTAGGCCAGATTCCATGCTTATTTGCAGTCAACAATGCATAGACCCAATTTGGATCTAGTCCAGCACAGTTAGTAACTGCGCCATATACATTAGGGAAAGATTATTGCTTACGTAATATGTTTTGAATGTAATAGCAATATAAACAAACACGGGTTAGTGATACACATCTTATGTAATAAGCTATATATAAAATGAAACGTAACCAAACTCCTGTATTTGATTAATAATAATAATCATCTCATCTAGCACTGAAATGATTACAGGTTACAATTTACAGGTTTTCTACTCTATCTTTAGTTAAATAACTATGTAACTTCTACATAAATACAAAATACATATGGAATGATCGCTGGGAAGTAGCCCAGAATAAAACGACTATTGCTAGTGATGGGTGTATCGTTTTTTCTTTTTTTAACTTTCATTTTTATATCTATATGTAAGGCTCTTAAGATGTCTCCCTCGTGGCCACAGAGAACGGACAGTTACAGTACACCGTTACGTTAACGGCGGTGCATGAAGGGATGTAGTCGGTCGGTTAACACCAATGGTCGCCATTAAAGTGAAGAAAAGCGATTAAAAATATATCACAAGGGAGATGAAGGCGCTCCTCGCGGGTATGTGAGGTTAGCTGTTGATTGATGGCGAAGGGGACAAATGGCACTACTTGGACGCGACTCTTATATCTTATTTATTGAAAAGATTTAACAGGCGGCATACTTGAAAGGGAAATAAATAAATGAATAGTTGTTGATACACCCGGTTCCATTACCCTCTACCAGGACCATAGATTAATTTTTCACTGGATATTCACAGATATGTCTCTAGCTAATTCATGACACGATTCTCTGCTGCGATGAAAAAAGGCACAAACTAAATCTGATAGAGGGTTCGGTTTCATCAAATACAGAATAAACACAAATGAGAAAAAAAGATATCATTACATCGACCGTGGCTGGACAATTGTCACCCCTGTGCGATGAATCTTTTCTTGAAGCCGTCATAGCAAAACCATTTTTTTTTTTTACCTGAAAGGGCGGATGTGCAAGCCCCGTTACTAGATAACTTGGATCTGCCTTATCTGCATAATGTACATGTACCAGATTTTCAAGTGTTTTGACTGCACGTTATTATCAGTAAAAAAAGCAAATACTACTTTCGCACATTGAGGCAAGCAATCACATACAATCAAACAATGCATGGCCATACAATAATCTGTCTTACAATGAGTTACACAACCTCGAACCTCTCAGGCCAGAAGGTCCTGGAAGAATTTTCATGGACACACCAGCCCCAACCCTGATAGAAACTGTGGCGCCACCTGCCTAATGCCCGGATGTACAACACTACATTTAAATGCACAAGCGAAAATGCACAAGCGAGCTGAAGTATTTGTTTTACGCCATTTCAATTTCAAGAAATTAACATAAAACGTTATGTTCCGGTTGTAACACCGTGAAACAATGAAGCATTGTTGGCGTTTTCTTGTAAATTAAACTCCCCGTATTATTTTTCAGGTGTATACTGCCGACTTATTCCAATAACACAGGTTCATCTCAACCGCAACACGTATTCCGCTATGGGACAGTTAATGAAAGTGACATCCATATAACGCTGTCTCGAACTAATAGTGAACGTAACCCTTGTAATGACGTCAGCAATATGAGTGACGTCAGCCGTGAACGGGACGCACGATGCAACAGCTGGGTGTACGATAAGACTTTGTTTAAGGAAACGTATCCTACTGAGGTATGTGATAATGTGATACATATGTGAACATTTTTAATGGCAGACACACATGCACGTACAAACACAAGCGCACACATGCACGCGCACAACCTCCTTCATCATCTTTTTTTTATGTAACGCACTTTATTATTTCCAGTTTAATCTGGTTTGTGATGACGCCAGTAAAGTAACCATGACGACGTTGATGTTTCTGATTGGTGCAGCCGCAGGGAATGTATGGATAGGGTTTCTGTCGGATCGGTAACGAAAACTTATCTTTTTAAAATTTTGTTCGTTTCCTGACTGATATTTGTTTTTTGTGTCATGATTTGACTTTCTACGCTTATATGTAATTTGTGTGCACCTTGAAGTTTTGTGCGTCATCGGAACCGTAAATAGCGTAAATTTTCGTGCTAGCTTAAAACATTGACAAAACGTGTTTCAAGCAACTTATCACAAAATATAAAATTATATAATATATTTTCTGGGCTCTGTTTTAAAGGGTTGGTCGGCAGATAGCACTAGGCATTGCCCTACTATTAGAGTGTGCGGCAGGGATGTCCGCGGCGTTTGCACCCTCTCCAACAGCGGCAATGGTCTTCAGGTTCTTCCTCGGAGCCTGTTCAAGCGGGTCCTACACCACGTCATTTGCGTTCGGTAATCCTAAATGTTTATTTTCGAGTTAATGAACGAGAATTTTTGTCCAACTGTAATGTTTTTTCATTCCACATCAAGTTACTACTCGATAGTATCAACCGACTATCTCTAAACAGTATGAAGTTACAGCAATGCAAGCCACGATTTTAAACGTAATCTAAGTACTTGCATCGCCTCTTGTTGCAACTGATCTTATCTGATTGTCATTAAAACTTTCAAAATGTATATTGACAAACAAAGGGCATGAAAAGGCTATTATTATTCAGTCTGTGGCAGTATTTGTCATTATGTATTTAGTTTATATTCATATCAACTTCATAAATCCTTTATTTTGGATATAATATCTAATTGAACGTTTTTTTTTATCTCCTTTAGGGATGGAGGTCATTGGTTCCAAAAAGAGAATGCTTGTTGGAATCATCATGCATTTCTCATTCGCTTTTGGAAGTTGTCTGATTTCCGGAATTGCGTACGCATTCCGCCATTGGCGCCACATCCAGATTGCCATATCGGCACCATTGTTTCTGATGGCCGTGTACACATGGTGAGCGCTAAAGTCGAAGATCACCAGCTTTTCTAGCTGGTAGACTGTTTCTACATACATAAAGTAGCAACTACCTGTAACTACATTAGATGAGCAATGTCTGATTTATTTACAACACTATATCCCTTACTTTCAAAAGTACCCCTTCATCTATTCTCGTTACCAAAATACAGTGCAACAAGCAAAGCAAGACAAACCGTTCCTATGACCTATATATCAGCGAAAAATTCTCCCCACCATCAACTATTCACTTGCCGAACCAAGTCAAAATCGTTATCCCTTTTGCCCAACCATACTTAGCAAAAGTTCATTATTATATGCATGGCAAATACATATATGTCATGCCTGTTTTGACCAATAAATTACTGATCCACCACATATACCACATATTTTAGTGATAATAATGTTAAGATGTTTTAGGTCGCAACACGAGGGATTTAACTTTGGGGATAATAATTAAGCCACATAATATATAATAAGGCATTCTGCTTTCTTGGGTCTTTCGATTATTATGGAATGTGGTCCTAATAATAATAACCCATAAAACGAAGGGACAGTAAACTAATACAGTTATGTATATATTTTAACAGGTTTATTCCGGAGTCGTTGCGTTGGTTGCTGTCAAAGGGATACAAAAAGGAAGCTGCGCGAGTTGCTCTGCGCATTGCCAAAGAGAACGGCTGCCATATTGAATCAACAGACGCCCTATTCAGAGAGCCCGAGCCAGTGTCCGTCCGGAAAAGAACCAGAGACATTCCAAAGGAGTTGTGCCAAACGCCCCGTCTTTTGTTGTGCATGGTCATTCTCTCTGTAAACTGGTCAGTGAACGTTACAGATTCATTAATCATCATCATCATCATCATCCGAATTTATTTTTTACTGGCCGGGATTAATCCTCAACAGAGGGTGGGGTCAGTCTGACACGCAGTCTTCCTCTCCAACTTGATTTATCCTGAGGGTCCACGCCGACAAAACCAAGCGCTTCCCTGTCTCTTCTCATCACGTCCTTCCAACTTGTAAAAATTATTATTTAAAGTAATTAAAAATAACATAAAAAAAAAACGCAACCAAACCTATTTATCGTACTAGTAGTTTGCAATGGTATAATTTAGAGAAATACTAAAGGACATCGTTTCATATTTCCCGAAAAATGATATTTGGACGGACATTTTCTTCTTTCTTTCCATGCAGTCTCATTTGAATAAGAAATCAATTGCGAGCTCAGATACACCCACGCATGGGAGTGAGAGTGATGCTCATGTAACGTGCCCACCAACACTCCATTTAGCGGAATTTTTAAAGTTCTTTTTAAAGCTCTTTTTAGCTGAACAAAAAAAAAATGATTTGGCTTATGATTGACATGTTGACCTAATTTTAGTGGTAAAAGGAACTGGCAGAAGTGGTTTATATACGTTACTGGAAATCCACGCTCGCTTCACACATGCATGTAACTCTAAAGGAGCACATTGTATTAAAGCTTTAGCTAACAAGTTTTGATGTATAGTTTTTTTTAAAGTTTTCTCTTAGTCTTTAAGATGCACCATATTCTAAAACGCCTTAAGAATTGCGTCTTAGGTACTAGTGTTTGAGCCACTCTTGGTATGGGATAAGAAACTGGTAAATTAAAATCGTGACCATGAAGATTAAAAATTAAGAATTCGAAAACGAGTATATAAACTGTACTTTCACAGCAGATAAGGGTACTGTATACCTTGGTTATGAAAAGATAATTGCTGGCGTTTCATGGAAAATCAATTATTTTGCAAGACATAAAGGTCTAACGCGATTGGTATACTTTTAATCAAAGCTTTGAATAACATATACGGATATCCACTGCACGTTTTTGGACCCATTTGAGTAAAGGTCGTGCACCAGCTGCCCACATGGTGCTTGTTTGGGTGGAGACCTTAACTATTTATGTGCAATGGAAAGACTTTGTTAATACGAATTATTGTTGTGAAAACCCAAAAGCAACTTTTAAAACTTAATTTTTTGTTGAATAACATTTGGTTCATTTTTGTACTATTTATGCATTCCACGTGGACCTTTTATTTTTAAATTAAAAAACTTTGTTAAGTAATTAATTAGTTTTATGCTCAATTAACTCAACCAATGTCTGGTAACTCTCCTGCTCCTTCTCTAAGCATCCATCTCATTGTCTGTTTGTTCATATTTCAGGGCAATTCTTGAATCCACCTGGTATGGTATAGGACTCAACACCGGGAATCTCGGCGGAAGTATATTTCTCAACTTTTTCCTGCTTAGCCTGATGGAGTTTCCCGCCGTTTGTGTGGTATTTACTATCAACCGATTCGGCAGAAAAGTCCCCTTCGTTTCTTCCATGGTTTTGTGTGGGATATTCTGCTTATCTGTCATATTTGTAGAGTTGTACATGGGAGTAGGTGAGTGCTGTGCAAACGTTCTTAAATACCAGTAGATTGAACACAATGCACCCCGAACAACTGAATCATATATTTTCACGGTTAATTGGAAATTTCTCTATTATTGTCTGATTATTATTATTATTATTATTATTATTATTATTATTATTATTATTTTGCAGACGACCCTTCATCAAACTGGATACGAGTGGCGCTCTCTGTCGGTGCAAAGCTCTTCATCTCGGTCGCTTACAACATCGTGTACATATGGGGTGCTGAACTCTACCCAACAGTCATGCGCACGGTTGGCATGGCGATATCAATCATGGTAGCAAAGATAGGGACTCTTTTAGCTCCTGTCATTGTGGTGAGATGTTTCATTCTTAATATTTCATTGTTACCTCCGCCAAGGAAGTTATTTTTTCACCCCTGTTTGTTTGTTTGTTTGTTTGTCATCAACATAACTCAAAAAGTTATGGGCCGATTTTGATGAAGTTTTCAGGAACTGTCAGAAGTGGGCCAAGGAACAGATAATTAGTTTTTGGTAGTAATCCGGATCAATATATAGAAAATTTAGGGATGAAACCGCATTGGATGGAGACTTTGCTGCCTTGGCGGAGGTCTGCCCTCTCTGAGTGCTTTTCTAGTTAGAGTGTTGTCACGAATTCTGCTTAGCGTATATTCGCGGATCAAACATGGCCGACCCACTTGAAAGCTTGCTGCCTGATCCTCATAAAGACATTGTATAGATTCCACGTAGGATTTACGCGGTGAGCTTTCGAGTGGGTCGGCCATATTTAATCCACGGATCTGTTAGTCGGCGGATCAACTTTGGTTGTGGATGCATTCAAGACGCTTATTTTTTAGCCAGTTCAGTATTGAATTTGATCTATAGATTCAACTCATCAACTATTTTTTTCAATCATTATTGACTTCGCTTTCTTTGCTTGCAGAGGGAGCTCAACTACAGCGGATATTTCAAAGATAAAAGCACCTTGCCTCTTGTCATCTTCGGAGGAATGTCTGTCCTCGGTGGCCTGTCTTCGCTTTTACTGCAAGAAACGGCCAACAAACCTCTGCGACAAACAATAACGGAAATGCACAAGAAATGTACGTCACTTCCGGTAAAAGACACGTGTGACGTAAAACTGAATGGAGAATTTGGCTCTCATACGGAAAAGCAGACACTCAGTGAAGGCTATTCTGATGGTGACAATGCAAAAACCACGGCTAACTTATTATAGCAATATATAAATTACTGGAATAAATGATTATTATATTTATATATTTTTTTCACGGTATTAAATAACGCACATAAAAATGTCTTTGTTCCATGGATAAAATGTGTGAGTAATTGTAAGCAGATTTGAAAGACCTTTATTTATACATTTATACAAATTTCCTCTTAATCAAGATTTCCAATAAACTTATTTTATATAATTTTAGAAGTTTTGCGTCACCTTAACGCTACCTCGACTTAAGAATTCGTGTTAGCCAGGACATCACGTGACTTAAGTTGTTGGATTTGTATGTCTCCGATTGAATTGTATTTGAATGAAAAATTCAATTTCTACATGTTTGAAAAAGAGATTTAAAAAAAATTTTAATGAAATCTTCTTGTCTTTGAGATATGTAGTGCAGTTCAGCACCATTATATCATTTTTTACCCACAGTTTATGTCATTGCTTTAAAAAGGCAGATTAATGTGTTCAAAACTGATTACCGACGTATCACACTCTGCACAAAAGATGTTTCTGTCTTTTGCAATATTTTATTCTTTTTCTCGTAAATGACCAGTAATTCTTTTATCCGGTGTGACAGAAATGGTAGACCTAGGAATGGAAGTCCGGGATCCTGTACAAAGTAATGGGGAACGGACTACGGAATATCATTCCTATCACATTGGCTCTCACTGTGGCCTATATATGTTTACATGTAGCGACAAGAGTCCTTTCTCACACTATATTGTTATTTTTTAAGTTTTAAACCGAAAAACTTATAACTGTATGATTTGTCTCTCAAAATTGGGAATGCCTCTCCCCACACATTGCGCCCAGTGTCACACCTAACAATATATTCCTTCATTCAACTGGGTAAATTGGTACGTACATCACTTTTCTAGAATCTCTATCTTCACTAAAGCCTGGGTCCCAAGTACGTTTTGCACGCACGGTTTTTTTTTTTTTTTTTTTTTTTTTTGGTTCCTTGCGTCCGGCTAGGACGTAGCTTGATCGCACGTAGCGGCTGTTGATCATGTCGAAAAGTTTCTACGTGCTGTTTGCGTCCTCCAAAAGTCGCACGATGGACATGCTTCTCACGCACGAACTCCTTCCCGATCCCTTCCCTGCGGTCTAGCTACGTGCTAGATGGACGCAAGGAACCTAAAAACCGTGCGTCCAAAACTTAGTTGGGACCTAGGCTTACGTTGAAGTGTCACAACAAGAGAACCAAAGACAATGGAGCATTCGCACATCTTTGGTTTTCGTAAAGTATTATGCACACATAGTTGGATAACATGCTACAGACTTTTTGTGCGAAAATATTATGAAAAAACGAAACACAAAGAGAGGTTCTACCGAGACTTGAACTCGGATCGCTGGATTCAAAGTCCAAATGCTAACCATTACACCATAGACACTTACGTGAACCACGCAATCATTATTACCACAGGGGGGATCTTTTGTGCTAAGACGGGTGTTACTGCATATCGCTGAATATCGGACTCACACAGACATGACACAAACACACAAGTGCGTGCGCATACACACACACACACACACACAGTGGCGGATCAAAACATATTTTCGGACAGTTTTCCAAATTCAGCGTGTAGTATGCGTCAAAAGTTTTAACTTATTAAAAATATTTATTTGCGAACATACGTAAATAACATCTTGTAAACAGCAAATTGCTCTCTCTCTCTCTCTCTCACACACACACACACACACACACGCTCGCGCGCGCATATACAGTATAATTATATTGTTATATTGCAGGGACGAAAACGTAACTCTTTCCTCTCTACTGCTATCTATTGCCCCTCCACACTCCCCATCTCCAAAGTCAGGAACACGTTAATTTATTTGTGACACCTGACGCAATATATTCACAGTGAAGCTGAATCATTTGTCTGTCACATTGCTGTTTTCCTCACACATTGCGTCCAGTGTCGAACCTAACACAACACATTCTTGCATTCTACTCGGTATAATGGAACTTGCATTTTATAAGCTTATAATTTTTTTCTGAAATCCCTGTCTGCAATTAGTTGTCTTCATTTGATCTCTTGCATTTTCTTAATTTCGTAAGCCCCCTTTACACTGAACGGCGTTCTTCCTGCATCCCTACTACGATAAAAAAAGGTGTTCAGGACGCTCAATGGTCGCCAAAGCAATTCAATAGTGCCTCATGCTTCTGCGTCCCCTGAGCGTCCTTTGGACGTCTAAACTTTACCTGTAAAAATGTAAAACTGCGAGCGACGTGTGCGTCCATTGAATGACCTCTGCGTCCACTGAGCGACCTGCCTGCCTCTTCAGAGTGGTCAAAGTTTGAACTTCGGCGTTCATTGCCAGAGTTCAGAGTCCTAACCATTACACCATANTTAACTACAGCGGATTTTTCAAAGATAAAAGCACCTTGCCTCTTGTCATCTTCGGAGGAATGTCTGTCCTCGGTGGTCTGTCTTCGCTTTTACTGCAAGAAACGGCCAACAAACCTCTGCGACAAACAATAACGGAAATGAACAAGAAATGTACGTCACTTCCGGTAAAAGACAAGTGTGACGTCAAACTGAATGGAGAATTTGGCTTTCATACGGAAAAGCAGACACGCAGTGAGGGCTATTCTGATGGTGACACTGAAAAAACCACGGCTAACTTATTATAGCAATATATAAATTACTGGAATAAATTATTATATATATATAGTATATATATATATTCACGGTATTAAATAAGTACGCACGTAAAAAAGTTGTACCATGGATAAAACGTGTGAGTAATTGTAAGCAGATTTGAAAGACCTTTATTTATACATTTATACAAATTTCCTTTAATCAAGATTTCCAATAAACTTATTTTATATAATTTTAGAAAAGTTTTGCGTCACCTTAACCCTACCGCGACTTAGGATATCGTGTGTCCTGGGACATCACATGACTTTACGTTGTTGGATTTGTATGTCTCCGCTGGAATTGTATTTGAATGAAAAACTCAATATCTACATGTTTGAAAGAGAGGTTTTTAAAATATTTTCAATGAAATTTTATTGTCTTTGAGATATGCAGTGTAGTTCAGTACCATTATATCATCTGTTATCCACAGGTTATATATCATTGCTTTTAAAAGGCAGATTAATTGTGCGTTCACAACTGATTGCCGCCTAAGTTACTGACGCATCACACTCTGCTCAAAAAAGGTTTCTGACATCTTTTGCAATATTTTATTCTTTTTCTCGTAAATGACCAGTAATTCTTTAATCCGGTGTGACAGAAATGGTAGACCTAGGAATGGAAGTCCGGGATCCTGTACAAAGTAATGGGGAACGGACTACGGAATATCATTCCTATCACATTGGCTCTCACTGTGGCCTATATATGTTTACATGTAGCAACAAGAGCCCTTTCTCACACCATATTGTTATTTTTTAAGTTTTAAACCGAAAAACTTATAACTGTATGATTTGTCTCTAAAATTGGGAATGCCTCTCCCCACACATTGCGCCCAGTGTCACACCTAACAATATATTCCTTTATTCAACTGGGTAAATTTGTACGTACATTCTATAAGCTTATAGCATTTTTCTAGAATCCCTATCTTCACTAAGTTGAAGTGTCACAACGAGAGAACCAAAATCGATGGATCATTTGCACTTCTTTGGTTTTCGTAAAGTATTATGCACACATAGTTGGATAAAATGCTACAGACTTTTGTGCGAACGTATTTAACGGAAAAAAAGAGACACAAATAAAGGTTCTACCGAGATTTGAACTTGGATCGTTGTATTTAAAGTCCAGAGTGCTAACCTTTACGCCATAGAACCATTTACGCGAACCGATCAATCATTATTACCACATGGAGGATCTTTTGTGCTAAGACAGGTGTTACCGCATAGCGCTGAATATTACACTCACACAGACACGACACAAACACACAAGTGCGCGCGCATACACACACACACACACACACACACACAGTGGCGGATCAAAACATTTTTTCGGTCAGTCTTCCAAATTCAGCGTGTAGTTTACGTCAAAAGTTTTAACTTATTGAAAATATATATTTGCAAACATACGTAAATAACATCTTGTAAACAGCAAATTGTTCTCTCTCTCTCTCTCTCAGTCTCTCTCATATTAGGGAGGTCAGGTCACACCGCTCACGCAGTCGAAAACGGGAAGAATTCTAACCTTGCTGTTTGTTTTCAATCATAACTTCCAAGATTTGGGTCCTATGATAAATATGAAAACATATTTAAAAAGTGCATTGAATGGGCTTTCTAAAAATATGTGTAATAATGTATCATGTCTCCGTTGTAAGCCTCCAGCCACGAAAAGGTGCGAGAAATCGCCGGTGATTTCACTTCCTCGTTTGGTACCCACTATTTACGAATTTTGCGCGTTTCGCGCCATTTTTCCAAAAGCTCCGTACGTACTAACACAACACATTCTTGCATTCTACTCGGTATAATGGAACTTGCATTAAAGTTTATATATTTTTTTAAATCCTTGTCTGCGATTAGTTGTCTTCATATAAGAACCAGAAACAATTGATCTCTTGCATTTTCTTGGTTTTTGTAAGCCCCCTTTCCACTGGACGGCGTTCTTACTCCGTCCCTACTACAATCACAAATGTGGTCAGGACGCTCAATGGTCGCCAAAGCAATAAACGGTACCGGAGGAGACTGATTGTGCCCGGAAGTGACGTGTAGTGGTGTTAGAAGCGAAGCTGAGTGGTCATTTTAATCTGGAGGCCAGGTGAACGGGAAAGAAGACGTGTAGTCGGAGGAAAAAAAAGAAGTTTTCCAAACAACATGTGAAGATAACAATTTTTCTTTACGCATTTTGGACAGATAATACTTGTAGAAATAATAGGTGCATGATATGAAAACGTGACACGGAATTTGAAGGTGCAAAACCGTGCTTTTTTACGCAGTCAAATTGTTTTGAAATACATGCTGCATCGACCGCCAGCGGCGCTGGGCGACAAAGAGCGTGAAGGGAAAAGAATTCCCGGGGGGCCATAAATCGTTGTCATGTTGAATTTTGGCATTTATATAATCTGATATGTCCATACGTCATGCGTCCACTGAATGACCTCTGCGTCCACTGAGCGACCTGCCTGCCTCTTCTGAGTGGTCAGTGTCAACTTCGGCGTTTATTGCTATGTTTGAGCAAGGACGTCCTTGGTTTGAGCGACCATTGAACATTCTCGTTGAGTTTTCTTTAAAT